GCAACATGGATTTGATTCCCTGTCCCCTGCTGTGAATCATTGGGAATGGGATCTCAGACTTGAACCTCACGAGATGGGATCTTTTAGCAAGTCAAAGGAAGTCATAATCAGTGATGCCTAGCACAGTTAATGAGCTGGTGGTGAATAGTGTAAATGTGGGGTCAGATTCTTAACTAACTTAAGGTGGTATAACTTCAGTAGATTTAAAAGTTATGGGAAAGGATCACATAAAGAGATGAAAAGAGAGGCTTTGTACCTGTTTTTCTAGGAGTCATCAGGATTGCATTTTTTTAAATGAATGTGCTTTTGCTATTGACTGTGGTTCAAAGCAGCATGTTTCTACCTCTTCTTTTTTTCTTTAAGTTTTGTGCTGAATGCAAATTTGGAGGCAACCTGTTGTGTTGTGCTTTTAGCTTTTCAAGCGGACATCACACGTCTGTGAAATCATTTTTGACCATACCTTGAGGACAGAAGTGTTTGCTTGCAGATAAATTTCACAGATTTTGTTTTGGAAAAGGGCCTTGTAGGAATAGCATACATACACTGTTAGTCACTGATTTCTAGTTAAGATGCTGGGAAAAGATGCATTTGATTATGGAGGATTATATGTATAATCTTTTGCTGAAATGTATCAGAAGCTAAAACTCCCATGCTTAACAAAAGCATTAAAGTTGCTTACTGAACTGTGATTCAAAATGCGAACTTTCAGATAAAGAGTTTTTTTATAAAGAAAATATCAAATTGCCTGCAGTGACTAGCATGATTATCATAGAATCATAGGATGGTTTAGGTTGTAAGGCATCTCAGAGATTATCCAGTTCCAACTTCCAGCCATAGGCAGGGTTGCCACTCACCAGCTCAGGCTGCTCAGGGCCCCATCCAGCCTGGTATTGAATGCCTCCAAGTATGGGGTTCCACAGCTTCCCTGGGCAGCCTGTGCCAGCATCTCACTACGCTCTGAGTAAAAAATTTCCTCTTACCATTCAATATAAATCTTGCCTCTTTTAGTTAAAAACCATTCCCCCTTGTCCTATCACTATCTGCCCATGTAAAAAGTCGGTCTCCGTTAGGTTTGTAAGCTCTTCTTAAGAACTGGAAAACAACGAGGTCCCCCTGGAGCCTTTGTTCTCTATGCTAAACAAGCCCAGCTCCCTCAGCCTTTCTTCACAGGAAAGATGCTCCAACCCTCTGATCATCCTTGTGGTGTCCTGCAGAACTGCAGCAGTTCCATGTCTGCCTTGGGCCCTAGGCCTGACTGCAGTACTCTGGGTAGGACCTCATGAGGGCATAGCAGAGAGGAACAATCGCCTCACTTGCCCTGCTGACCAGGAAGCGGCCCAGCACATAGCCCAGAATGCAGCTCAGGATACTGCTGTCCTTCTAGGCTGCACACATACATTGCTGGCATACATTGTGTCAAACTTTTCATCCACAAGAATCCTTAAGTCCTTCTCTGCAGAGCTCCTTTCAATGAGTTCTCCCAGTCTGTACGTATCTGGGATTGCCCCATTCAAAATGCAGTGCTTGGCACTTGGCCTTGTTGAGTTTCACTAAGTTCACATTGGCCTTCTTTTCAAGCTTTTCCAGGTCCCTTGAATGGCATCCCTTCCTTCTGTAAATTATGAATTGGAAATGAAATAATACCTCCTTATACTAGCTAAATAATACCTCTTTAAACTAGCTAAGATACGAAAGATACCCCATTCAAAGGCTACTGCTGCTATTTAAACTATGTTTAAACACTTACATCTCAAAAAATTAGAAGTGTATTATATTACTGATATTTGAGCAGTATAGAGAGTTCAGCTGGCAAGTCATTTCTTACTCATTGCTGTGGATATCCTTTCCCTTGTTATTTTAAAGTGTATTTTTCTTCTGTAAAATTGTGCTATTTATAGGATTCAAAAAGGGTCTGTGAAGAAACTTAATGTAGTTGTGACACCATGAAGTACAAGGGCTACCAGATAAATCCTATATTTTGCAGTCAAGCTCAACATTGAGTGAAGTTGATTGTAAATTATGATATAATATCAAATAAATGTGTTCACATTATAGAATAATTGTCCATGTGTAAATGCCAGGTTTAATTCTGGAGGGCATCCTGGCACCCATCCATAGGTGGATTTCTGTGATGTTGAAGGAATCTTTATGAAACTATTAATACAGTTGCAGTATGATTGTTTTCTTTTTTTTAATGATTAAATTTGCCTGTTTTCCAATTACCAAGTTGCAGTCCAGAACCTGTTATGCAAATATTATTTCATTTTGATTTTTCTGTCTGAGAACAGGGAGGTAATCTCTACCAGATCTGTTGCTATTGCTGTCTCACCGTATTTTCAGTTCACTTTCTTGTAGAGTCAAAAGCACTGTGTATTTAAATATGAATAAGCAGAACAGTTGAAAGTGTCTGTGTGGTAGTGTCTTGTCAAAGCCAGCCTCCTGGAATCTTAGGTTTTTTTTGTTTTTTTGCCTTGGGATGTCTCTATAGGTACTTAAAAATGTATGTATCCAAATCCATAGTCTTGTGGATTACTGGTAGTGCACTGAATGCTCCTTTATATAGTTTGAGACCATTCAGTATTGTTGGCTTTGCTTTTGGAACTAACCAATTATACTGTCCTGTGATGTCTTAGAGGTATGAATGCACACTCTGATGCTAATATGAATCTTTTTGTTTGTTGCTGTGTAGTTATATCTTTAAAATACTACTTGAACAGTGGAGTATTGAGAATCTTATGTACTCAGGTGAAATGTGTTGGCAGAGCATCAAGCTGAGGAATAATGGGACTGTGTGTCTGTGCTGATTTGTGCTAAGGGGAGGCTCTGATCTTTCTTCTACCTTTTTCGTTTATTCCAGTAAATTGATTCTGTGCATGTTTATTTTTAATGTGGATTTTATGGAAATAATTTTGATAGCCAATATGAAATAATGATGTTATAGATCTTCTAATAGGAGTGTTATTTTGTTAAAAAATGACACAAGTCTACGGCAAAATGCTGCTTTCTCCCTTCCTATCTGAATCCACTCTGCCTTAGCTTTGTCCGCCCCACTAGGCATCAGCTTTGAACATCTGAGGTTAGCAGGACCATTCAGTTACTGTGCCTATTCTAAGCCAAGTCCTTCAACGTTCACTTCAGTGTCAGATGATATGCTCATTTTCCACATCCCTGTCCTCAAGACACTTAGTATTTATTTTGTCTCTTCAGAAGATTCAGTTACAGGTAAAGAAGATAGAAGATGTGGTCGTTGCTATCAGTGGTAGCCAGTAGTACTTGGAAAGATGAGCTTCTCTAAGGATATTTAAGGTAGCTGGTTACCATACAGTCATTCTCTGGAGCTGTACCACCTTCCTCTTCTCCCTGTCCCTGTACAAGAACACTGAAGTGTGTGGTCCTAAGAGCAAAAGGCTTTCAGAGCTATGAATATGGACTGTGGACAGATCTGATGCTTAAGGCTTCTGTATATCGCAGGTTATTTTAATGGTGAGTGGGAGCCAAACTGTAGCATGCTTCCAAGCAGGAGGAATGCAGAAAGATAAGAGGATGCATTTTATACAGCGTAACTACACAGTAATGTAACAACAATATGAAACCGGGAATGCTTTTAGGAAAGGAGTAAAAAATAAAGATCTAATGATGACCACAATCATGTCTGTAGCAGAATGCTTTTTCTATCCTGGGCAGTTTCTACAAGTAATTTCTCTTGTAGAATGCACTGAGGTTAGCAGGACCATTCAGTTACTGTGCCTATTCTAAGCCAAGTCCTTCAACGTTCACTTCAGTGTCAGAGGTTGATATACTCATGTTCCACATCACATTTCTCTTGTAGATGCACTACTATCTATCTTGCTGATTTGTTAGAATTGCCCTCCATGTTAACTCCTAGAATTTCTGCAGATCGTCATCTCTTCTCTGTTATCAAGGTGCCATTAATTAACAGTATCTGATTTCTTTTGATATTTCAGGTAGAAATTGACACTGCAATAGTACTAAAATAAAATCATATTGAATTCAGATAACTGATCAGTCTTTTTGGAACAAGCTGCTCGAGTGCATAATATTTGTTTTCAGATTGTGTACACAATGCAAGACTGTTTCAGAGCAAGTTCAGCACTGGAAATAAGATATTTGTGTTTTCCAGTTGTACTGTTATGCACACTATTAATCTGGGTTTGTATTGGTAGTCCCATAAAAAGGCACATACTTCAGACATTAGGTACACTTCTGAAATCAACAGATGTTTAGTCTTCCTGTAGTGTCAAGGATTTGCTTGTACGTGGTTGAGAAGCTTGTTTCTCCCAAGCTCGCAGATCAATGGAGGAAACTCAGAAAAGGAGAAAAAACAGTGGCATTAACAGCAGGTGTTGCAAGTCCCCAGATTTTCAGGCACAGTTCTTGTCCTTCAGGGTGATTTAATTTGTGCTTGGTCAGAAGTCATCAAAGTTATTTTCCTCCCCAGATTTGTGAGGAACATTCTTCCTAGGCTCATATCTCTGTGCAGTCTCTGTATCTGAAGGAGAGATAAGGGGACTGATTATTCTGTAGCAAAGCAATTCCATGCCTTTTTTTTGCAGTACAAAGAACATCAAAGGAAAGAAGTGTGTGTGTATATGTATATATATATAGGTAGATCCTCTATCTGTATGGCAGGAATCAAGTAGACTTGCTGGTCATCATGATGCTATAAAAGATTATTTCCAGTAATTAAAATTTATGCTTTCTCTGTGTTATGCTACTCTGAATGTTGCTGCTTAACTGAGGAAATACTCAAGGGAAGTAAGCTTTTTGTGAGTCTAAATCTTTTCGTATGGTCATCATCTTAAATGTCATGTCATTGAATAAAGGAAATTGCATGCTAAGCTTCTTTTGTTTAGATTTTATGAATGACAGTTTTACATTTATCTTGGATAATAATTATTTTGAAATACTCTGTTTATATAATACCCGACTAAGAAGTATTTTTTCATAATTAAAATATGATGAATCTTTTTATCTTACAGAAGTTTTGATGTTGGGCTCCATCGCTTTCTGGTCAGGTAAGCTAGTATTTATTTTGAATTGCAATTGCATATCAAAAAGTGTTTCTGTTATTGGTGGAGATGGCCATATAACTTTGTTGCTATTTGATGTTTTCTGTGGCAAGATTGCTGCTTATATTTGAATTGAATGTGTAGCACAATGTAAAACTCCTAAGGAGCCTCTTTAGAAGTCATTTAGGAAAACCTTGAATCAAGAAACATCAGGAGTTCCACTCATTCTGAGGAAATACTATTTTTCCTTACCTTGTTTTTTTTTCTTTTTTTTCTTTTTTCTTTTTTTTTTTTTTGCTCTGGAGAAAAATGAACATTTTCTAAAGGCTTTTTTTTCTCCCTCTGCATACTGAAGTACCTCCTTATTTGTAATAAGGCCTTGAATTTTATAGACAATTGTGACTCCATGGGGGAGAGATTTGTTTTCCTTAATAGAAAGCTTGATTGATTGGATGCAGAAGATGGACTATATTCTGAAGATGAATAAGGAACGCAAAGTGATTGTTGTGGATTTTGTTCACTGACATTTGGATGAATGCCATGATTAAAGCAGGGCGCTTCAAGAAGAAAAGGGAGGTTAATGCATCTGAGTGCATTGTGAGGAACTTTTTTGCTCTTTGGACTTCTTTTATGTGAGCAAAGTCTCAGGAGTTCACTGAGAATGTATTTGCATTCATTTTCAAAAACCTATCACTATCTAGTTGAGTTTTTAAAGAAATGCAATCTGTACTTCAAAAGATGGCAAAATTTGCAGTCCTCAGCTCCTTAGAGAATTCTTTGTAAGTTATTCCATCCCACTAAAATGTTGCTTCTTGCACAGTTTCTGTCTGCGAAGGCTTTTACCTTGGGAGGACTAACCCAGTGTGTGAACTAGAGCATGCTGTTGACCTTCCCCTGGTTCTGAATTCATTCTAGTAGGCTACTGTGGATAAAGACTCTGTTAAGTACTCACAGGTCTGAATCCTTGCAGGCAGCACTGATTCACTGACTCCCAGAGCTCTGACCCTGGGTGACTACTCCTGGTTACTTTTCACTCTTCTGGTTACGCACTCAAAGCATGTTTGTTTTTTTTTTTTTTTTAATGTTTTCAGTACCCAGCTAAATGCTCTGGACTTGAGCTTTTACAAGAAGTGTTCAGTTCCAGTAGTATGTTGAGTGCCTATAAGCATTTCACTGCCGTAGGTTCAGCATTGCTCATAAGTGCTCTTTTCACATAGTCCTCTATGGAATCTAAGATACCCTTTTCAAATATAGCTTCTCCTCTAGTTTGTCAGCAACATGGCAACATCCAGGAAATGATAGTAGTTCTGTATCCATGCAAAGTCTGGATGCCATTCAGATAGCAATACAAAAGGCATACCTTGTTGGGAAGAATACTGGGTAGCCTCGTATTGAACTTCATGCTTTTGTGATTTAAACGAGTTACAAATAAACCCCCACAAAATGCATGAGTTCACCCAGTAATCCTTTGTCACAGGAAGAATGAGGTTGAATTATGGTTATACAGGCAAACCAGTGTCCTTACATTACATAACCCTTGAGTCATAGATTTTTATAACTTTATTTCGTATATTTCTCTGTGTGAATCATGAAAGCATTTAAAACAGCTCTCTTCAATGAAGGCATAGTGTCAGTATCACTGAAGATGTCTGCATTTCAATATGTTGATATAGTTTTTAGTCTACTCAATATACTTAAATTCTGGTACCCATTCTATAAAATTAGTCACATCCATTTTTGATCTGTAGATATATTTAAATCATATAAGAAATATTTAGAAATACGCTACTGTTGTACAGGAAATACAGTGCACAGCAAGATCTCTAGGGAATGCAGGTAACTTCTTAACCAAGAGCAGAATCACAGTAAACGTTGAGGTACTAAGTCTGAACCACTAGTAATGCTTCTACCACTGAATAGAAGGCATTTTTCTAATATACTGCATTGTTTTGCATCGTGTGGAGATACAGTACTGGAGTTGTATGCTCACATAATCCCTAAATAGCAAATATTCCTTGAATTTGATTGTGTAGAACACCTTATTTTTTGACTAATATGTCCTGTTTCCAAAGCCCACTGTGAGTCTTACAAGCGTGTTCTTTGAGATAGCTTTAATAATACTTCATTCTCTATTCGTCACTTACTCCTGTTATTAACTTGGGGATTCCTCAGACACATTTACTGTAACTGTACTGTTAAGGAGGAAATACTGTTCCTTTACATTATAGCAGTATGAGTTTTGCTTATTTTACTTTATGTAAAGGAAAAAAAAAAGCCATTCCTCAGCAGTTGATTTTTGGACTGGGAAGGAGTGGACTTGGTATTACTTTCATGTTTGCCAATTGGGTTGCTATATGAGTTTTGGCAAGTTAATGCCTTCATTGATTTTATCTATTTTAATGGTCTCTGCTCTCAAGATATTGTAGTCTTTCTCTTCTGTATTTCACACCATATCTGTTGTGCAAAGTCCTCTTTGCAGTTTGTGCTTCTCTGTGAAAAATAAAAATAACAAAAAGCAGAGTTGCAGAATTGTTAGAAATCTATGAGTTATACACTGTCTGAAACAGGAATCCTGAAAATTCCTGGAAGAAAGACCAATAATTTATTGATGAAAAGTTTCATGATGAAAACTGTGTTTTCATACTACTCATTAAAAAAAAAATGTACTGCTGTGTTTGAAAGATCATTTTCCCACTGTTTTCATGATATAAAAGAAAGTAACTGTTACTTCATTTAGCTTCAGCAGAATTGTTAATCATGTTACTCAAATCATACAAGTACAGATATTGGTTTTTTTCTTCCCTATACAGACAATAATAATAGTAAAAACCACACAAATGAACAAGCAAAACCCCTGTGTTTCCTAGATCTAGGCATTCTCAATATGGAGAAATGGGTTTGTTATCAGAATTTGAAGTGCATAAAAGTAGCCTTTGGGGTAGCAGTTAAGAGGGGAAAGAGGAAGAGTCTGCATGGTGCTGTTTGCTCACTGAAGCTATTCCATCCAAACACTTCATCCAGTGCTGAGACCAGGGCATCAGATGAAATAAAATCTTGAACCTATGAGGATATTTACTGTCTTAATGCCAAACAGCGCTTCCTTTAGGGCAAGGCCGATTAAGGGGAGTGGAGAAGAATGACAGTTCCTGCAGGCACAATTCTTTTGAAAAATCTCCCCACTTTCAGCACTGCTGTGCCTTTGAAACTGTATGAATCATTCATTGCCATGCAGATGTGGCTTTGAAAAGAGCTGTGGGACCGTGCACCTATAACGTTACCCAGAGGTAGCCATCTGTTAGCAACACATACAGCTCACCCTGTGCTTTAACTTTAGCTTATTGAGAGTTGAAAGTTACTTAGGTTTTGTTTATTTCCACGTACAAAGATTCTTGAAATAGAAATCTTCAAGACCATCCCCTTTTCTAATTTTCTTAGGTGGAGTAAGATGTAGTTTGGATTCTGGGATCAAATTCTAATACTTGTTGCCACCTCTACTGATTTTAGTTTGAGCTGAGATACCTGATGTAAGGGCAGAGGGGTCCCACAGAGAAACAGTCATAGTGGATCTACATATGGCACTCTTGAAGAAAAAGATACCAAGGAAAAGGCTTCATCAGCTGACTCATCTATGCTTCTCGTTCTCTGTAGAGTCCCATAGGACTCCTCATATCTTCATGCTACTCAAGAGAGTAACATAATAATAACTTAATTGTTCAATCCATTTAAACAAGAAGTCTTTTTTTTCCCTTGTTACTCTACTCTGTTCAGAAAGGTACCACTGAGATCACATCCTGTGAAGTCAAAATTCTTCTAAAGTGCCGACACTTTTAAAAGACGACACAGTTCTTTACTGAGATGTGAAGAAGTCATTATTGGAGTGTAACCTCTATGGGAACTGTAGTCAATTGCTGAAGCCCTCAGCAATATTCGAGCTGTCCCAAGCTTAAGAGAGCTATGTCCTACTGTTCAGTGAGAGCAATAAAAGAAAGTAGTTCTTCCTATCACTGTTTTCTCTGTTTAAAAAAAAAAAAAAAAAAAAAAAAAAAAAACATTAAACATCTGAACTTTCCCTTTCTACACTCCTAGCTACTGGGAAGTCAATGTCTTCTGCAAACAGCCTTGTTTGCTTTGTATTGCATCCTTTCCCTAATTCTATTACTGGTGATTCCAGGCTCTGGCAACTAGACACAAATTTAGATGCGGATTTTCTGCTGGAGTGCAGCCTAAAAGATGTTTGTTTTCTGAGAGCCAAATAATGCTGATGTTATACAGTCTCTTTGCTGCTTTGAACGTGGCTGCCTATAAAATGCTATTGATGTTCTAATATACGGCACAGTACTAAAGAGATCCTAGTTATCTTGAAGCAGGATCGATAGAGGTATTTGGGTAACTGTCTCTGTCTTTGAAGTCACTAGGCGTAAAGTCCCACAGGGATACATCCTTCCTCCACTTTTCTCTTTCAGTTTATCTGCTGTTCCAAAAAACCCAAATCTGTAGCTTCTCAGCTTATTCTGTTCTGATCACAGAATCATCCTCACTGCATGAATGATAGTGTGTGGCCAAACTGTCTTCTGCAGCAAACCAGGCTGTGGCCTTGAGAACAAAATCTTTAGTGTGTAGCTCTGGGGGTTGATTGGCTCCACGTACCCTTGCCAATACGTGATGTGGTAAGATTACACCAATTTTGTCTTCCTGTGTCCTATCTAGTCCTCTAACAGTGTCTTGGTAGCTTTAACCATCAGTGTGTCCCTTCTCTCTTTGCAGGCTGTGCTTTTAGTCAGCGTACTACATTAGTCTTTTGCTACAAAAAGTGGCCACAACAGTCTTCACCCTCCTTGCAGACACCTTAAGAAAAACAAAGGCAATAACTCCCCTTAGGAGTACAACATGGTGCTCTAAGGGGTGGTTTCTTCCTTGCATGCATCTGTTTCCACTGAGGCTAATCCTAACCAATTTTGCCAGATTTTTTTGTGCTACTTCACCTTGGTGTCCTGGAAATCTGGAGC